CCACGCTGTGCCCGCCGACAGGCGCGGGGGTGGGCGGCTCTAACCTGAGGGTCTCCAGCCTCATGGTCCATCCTGACCCCGTTCCCAGCGGGGCCAGCGCTGCGGCCGGACCAGCAGAGTCCGGCCCTCGGGTCTCCGGGGCGATATCATTTGTTCCTTAACCAGGTTTACCATATCTTCATCTCGCTCAGGAGGTTTAACGAGTCAGACTGAGTCAGCATTATCCAGCCCCAAAAGCAGTATGATGCCCCAGTCGGGTGTCTCCAGGCTGTGTAAGCTTGTAGATAAGTCACTAGTAGTATCATTTGGTTGCTCCTTTCCCAGTTTACCATACCTTCATCTCACTCTCAGGATGTTTAACTTGGGCATTGATGAGTCAGACTGTGTTCAGCATTACCCAACCCCAAAAGCAGCTTGACACCTCAGTCAGGTGTCTCCAGGCTGTGTCAGCTTAGCAGATTGAGGTAAATCAGTAGTGGTATCATTTGTTTGTTCCTTTACCAGGTTTACCATATCTTCACCGCACTCTCAGCATATTTAACTTTGGCATTGATGAGTCAGACTGGTTCAGGATTATCCAACTCCAAAAGAAGCTTGGCACTGCAGTCAAGTATCTCCAAGCCACATGTGTCAGCTCAGTCAGATGTGTCCAGGCCACCTGTGTCAGCTCAGCAGCTTTAGATAGGATCATTTGTGTGTTCCTTTGTGTCAGCTTAGCAGATTGAGGTAAATCAGTAGTGGTATCATTTGTTTGTTCCTTTACCAGGTTTACCATACCATATCTGCACTCTCAGCATATTTAACTTTGGCATTGATGAGTCAGACTGGTTCAGGATTATCCAACTCCAAAAGAAGCTTGGCACTGCAGTCAAGTATCTCCAAGCCACATGTGTCAGCTCAGTCAGATGTGTCCAGGCCACCTGTGTCAGCTCAGCAGCTTTAGATAGGATCATTTGTGTGTTCCTTTACCAGGTTTACCATATCGCACTCTCAGCATATTTAACTTTGGCATTGATGAGTCAGACTGGTTCAGGATTATCCAACTCCAAAAGAAGCTTGGCACTGCAGTCAAGTATCTCCAAGCCACATGTGTCAGCTCAGTCAGATGTGTCCAGGCCACCTGTGTCAGCTCAGCAGCTTTAGATAGGATCATTTGTGTGTTCCTTTACCAGGTTTACCATATCTTCACCTCACTCTCAGCATGTTTAACTTTGGCATTGATCAGTTAGACTGGTTTCAGCATTATCCAACCCCAAAAGCAGCTTGACCTCTCCTTCTTCATTCCCCACTGGCTTTGCAACCAGGGCATTTTTGAGGTTGTTTTACCCCATTCCAAAGCAGAGCAACCAAGGCTTTGTTGAGGTTATTTTCCCCCGTTCCAAGGCAGAGCATCTTGCTGCACTCTTACCACCATGGTTTGTGTGTTCCCCAGAGCTGGGAGGCCCAGGTAGGAGCATGAGTGAGTTCCGCATCCACCATGATGTCAACGAGCTGCTGAGCCTGCTGAGGGTGCATGGAGGGGAAGGGGCTGAGGTCTACATTGACCTCCTGCAGAAGAACCGCACACCATACGTCACCACCAATGTTTCTGCACACAGCGCCAAGGTGAGTGGCCTGGACTTGGCTGAGGGTAATGTGGCATTGGTCAAAGAAAGAGGGGTGATCTGGTCTAGAATCTCATGGGGGAGAAGTGGGAAGGGGGTCAGGAAGAAGGAAAACTTTGTGTCTTGGTGGAAAGAAGATGAGAAGGAGCATTAGGACTGGGGGAAGTTCAGGTGGAGCTTTGTGCTGGTGGTGGTTGATACAAATTGTGATTAGAGGGGCAGTCCTCTGAAGGAATCACTGAATGTTAAGGGGTGGGAATGGAGCTTAGAGATCATCCAATGCCTCTTGCCCTGGGCAAGGACACCTCCCACCAGAACAGGTTGCTCAAGGCTTGATCCAACCTGGCTTTGAACACTGCCAGGGTTGGGGCAGCCACAGCCTCCCTGGAACAAGATATTCTTTAAGGTCTCTTCCAACCCAAACCAGTCCATGATTCTGTGATTCTAAAGATAAGTCAGGTTTTGCTTCTGATAGTTCTAACTGGTTCCAGTGTCTCACCACGCTCACAGCGAAAAAACTTATTTCTGATATCTAATCTAAAATTCCCTCTTTCAATTTCTCCCCATTCTTCCTTGTCCTGTCACTGCAGTTCCTAACACAGAATCCCTCTGCAGCTTCCCTGGAGCCCCTTCAGCTCCTGGCAGGTTGCTCTGAGGTCTCCACACAACCTTCTCTTCTCCATCCTGAACAGCCCCAACTCGCTCAGCCTCCCCTCAAAGGGAGGGTGCTCCAAACCTCTGATCAGCTTTATGGCCTCCTCTGGACTTGTACCAGTAGTTCCATGTACCTCTGATGTTGGGGGCACCAGAACTGTCTGCGGTACTCCAGGTGGGGCCTCACCAGAGCAGAGTAGAGGGGGAGAATCACCTCCTTGACCTGCTGGCCATAAAACATCCCTGGCAGTGTTCCAGGCCAGGTTGGGTGAGGCTTGGAGCAACCTGGGCTAGTGGAAGGTGTCCCTGCCCATGGCAGAGGGTGGTCTGAGGCGATCTTTAAGGTCCTTCCAACCCAAACCATTGTGTGATTCTGTGATTAAATGACAATTAGTAACTGTATGAAATGCAATTGCCTGAATTTTACTTGGGATTCCATTTAACATCAATGTGGTGTTTTCCAGGTGAAAATAGCAGAGTTCTCTCGAACCCCTGAAGACTTTCTAAAGAAGTATGATGAGCTTAAGTCTAAAAACACAAGACACTTAGATTCTTTAGTTTATCTGCTATCAAAACTCACTGAGGACAAAGAGGTTGGTGCCTCCTTAAGAACTCGATGCTGAACAGTAGCAACAATGCAATGATTTTAAGCACAGCTGATGGTAATGTGCCGTGAAATCCTTAGAAATCATCAGATAACCAGTTCTAGCATTTGCTGAATTATTAAAGCACTGCTGAGAATTAACTTCTCTTGATATAATCCACTAAGACATGGAAAACTGGGACAGGGAGATCTGGGGTCAGATTCAGCCCAACCAGCTTATGGTCATATGTTGTTTGCTTTGTCCAGCACTCACAACATCTCTTCTTTTGTTTATGTACAGACACTCCACTATTTACAGCAAAATGCCAAGGAAAGGGCAGAACTGGCAGCCAATGCAGCCTCCAGCAGCACCACAAACTTTTCCATCCCCTCAGCCACTTCCAAGATCTCTCTGCAGGAGCTCGAGGAGCTACGGAAACAGCTGGGCAGTGTCACAGCCAACTCCAGTGCTCAGCAGGTACCCCCGAAGTTCCTCCCAAGCTTTGGGCACTAAATCTTGCCTTTTATTAGTGACATTATATTAATCTTGGTTCTGTTGTTGGTAAAAGTGGCCTTAAGGTTAAATTATTTAAGATTATTCTGAGGTTCAATTCACAGTTCAATTCTTCCCTGTGAGGGTGGTGAGGCACTGGC